CACACTTTGCCTGCTGATAGGCCCTCCACAGTCCCAAATGTACACAATCACATGATTAAAAACTTGGTTTTGCATAATATGTCCCCTTTAATAAATTTCTATGTCTTAGTCCAGTGTTTTTCAACCTTTTTTGAGCCAAGGTCCATTTTTTCATTGAAAAAATCACGAGGCACACCACCAACCAAAAATGTTAAACAAATCTGTAGCCGCCTATAGTAACACTATAGTTATTCTTATCTTATCTTAAGTGTCTTGAATAGGAATCAAATAAACACAAAAATGTTTTTTTATCTTATTTTATATTTCGTATTTCAAATTGCTCTTAACATGACCACTTCAATATACAAAATTAAATACAAAATCTAGTCATAAGGAATTATTACATGATTACTCCACCAGTCACTAGAACAGCACACACACTCAGAAATGGAATATTATTTGCAGATAATTAATTCCTTATCAAAAAGTCTTTTTAGACCAATGAGGTGAAATGGGATCATTTTCTACACCTGACCATCACTAACGGCACACTAGTGGTTGAAAAACACTGCTCTAACATAATAAAACATCTGAGGGGGCGGAGCCTCAGTGTGTGTTAATTCTATCAAGTCAAGTCAAACTTTATTTATATAGCACATTTAAAATAACCAAAGTTGCCAAAGTGCTGTACATAAAAAGCATGTATATGTGATTTTAATGTAAAAATAAATAAATAAAAAGGTAAAAAGGTGCTCTACCTCAACCTAAGGTTAAAGTGTTATAAAAGCCATGTGGAATAAATGGCTTTTTAAAGAGGACTTAAAGTCCTCTATGGTCTGGGCAGATCTTATATTAAAAGGCTATTCCAGAGCTTTGGGACCACATTAAAGGCATATTTTTAATGTTTCCCTACTTTTACTATCAGATGTTTCTTATCTGTTGCGCTTGCTGTCCTGAATTAGCAAACCGGTCGTAAAGAGCTGCAATCATTATGTTTTTATGATATGAGTCCACACGTGGTGGCCAATAACGCGCCGTTTTAAAGGGAAACTCACACTAAATGATGCTCAGAAGTCGGAAAATAACTTTTTATAATACTAATAAAACAATATAATATAACGACTCATTTAGTAATACTGATGTTTCTCAAATTAAATGCATAAAAATTTGTTTTTTTTTATTACTGTGATTCATACAATCCTTAATAAACATCAACTGTTTTTTATCAGAAGTTTTATTGGCATTTCTCATTAAGCATGTCTTTGTTTTTTAATTAAAAGTTATTGAATATTTCCATTAATCTCAAAACAACAGTTTTAACTTTAAAATACAAAGTGATCTCAGAAACATATCAAATACTCATTTAAAGGGTCAAACATTTACTATTTTGGGATTGTTTGTGTTACAGTAACTTGCTTCTGGGCTTCCGTAGTTTTGACTTTTCTTCTGAACTATTGTAACCTAATTATACTGTGTACGGTGCTGTTATATCATTAGTGGGAGACTAATGGTTGTTTACTTTAAGTGGTTCTGTCAGTCTCAGTGGTCCAAACTGGACTTTATCATTTAGGGTTTAAGTTAATAGTTGTTTTGTTAAATATTTGGTTTGATTTTTGTTACTAACTTTGGTTAGTTTGGTTTGTTTCTTCCACCCACCAACATCTAAAACTTTTGTTTGAACAGAGTTTTTTTTTTTTTCAACAGGTGCTTTTATTCTTTTTGGATATCAGATTGAACGGTTTTAACCCTAAAAAGCCAAATGTGTCATATCTGATCCGGTTTCTTTTGGATGTGAGACTTTCTGCATCATTCAGTGGTAAAAGCTTTGCTCAAACCCCTGTTGTACACATTCAGATATACCTGATAACAGCCAGAAGAAGACTACACCAACATAGATTTCTGACTTATTGCACGCTAATTTGATCAAAATCATTTCTGTTTTTTTTCTTCATATGTTGTTGAGGGGCCAAAGAAGACTTCAGACTAAAAAAATCCAATATTCTTCCTATTTTTCTTGCCTCGGGCTTTAACGGGTTAAACTATATTTGTTAAATGTTTGGTTTGATTTTTGTTACTAACTTTGGTTAGTTTGGTTTGTTTCTTTCGCCCAACATCTAAAACTTTTTTTGAACAGTGTTTTTTCTTTTTAACAAGTGCTTTTATTCATTTTGGATATCATATTGAACGGTTTTAAACCATATATACAATAAACCTTCTAACCCTGAGTTCCTCATCTGTTCTTTAGTTGGCAGGTGTACTAACAGGGAACTCCACTTATTTGGTGTCACATATTTCTGTCACATATTCAAAGAAGAGAAGGACAAATGTAAAGTTTCTGAAGTGTCTCCTGACACGTCCAAACATCCCATTATACCTGTAATGATCCACCCACATAATTATTAACTCCTGGTGACGCAACAGCGACTTTGGCCCGTTTATTCCCAGGTGAAAGCGTC